TACCTCTCTCCTGCCCTTGGTGCCCAGCGTCCACTTGCTCGCTGACCACTCTGTGATGCTCAGTTGAGGTCTTGCACCACCGGCCTTCACAGGGGGCACTCTGCTCTCTGGGATCTTTCTCTTCCACCCTCAGACTTGAGTTGCCCTATGTCGGCTTCCTAGGGGCTCTGCTAGATGTTCAAAGCCAAGCAGCAAAATGAATTCACAGGGAGACGTCCATGGCCATGTGCTTTACTGCACTACCCCGGACTGTTCATACAGACTCACCAGCATCCCCTGTGGGTCAGCAGAGGGGTCCTCGGGAGTGGGTGTGTGAGGCTCTGTGTGTGGTTCTGGAACCACCTCTCAGGTTTCGCCTGTGAATTTGAAAAGCCCTTCCGTGGAGCAGTGGGGTAGGATTGACAAATAGACACGTGAACGGTAGATACCTATTTTTTGCTCCAAAATCCAGAGCTCTTACTGATACAATTCGCTGCATCAGTGAAACTGGAGAACTGGGGAGCCGTGGAGTAGGCTGGCGGGGAACATCATGTTCATCTTCTGTAAGGTGGCTGCTGCCGGTGACAGAAACTCCTGAATAAGTGGATAAAGGTGACAAGAATTGTGAAGTGCAAGTGCTTATTAGTGTCAAATGAGCAAAGCAGAAAAATGTGAAGCAGCAAAAATTAGCAGCATTAAGCAGAAAAAGGAGGTTTGAGTCTTGCTGAAGCACCTGACTCATCAGACTGCGTCAGCCTCTGCTAATTCCCCCGAGCCCCCCGGTGGGTCACTGCCCATGTTCAACGTGGAGAACTTCATGGGCGGCAGGGAAAGGCGGCCTTCAGGAATGACCCTGGAATCCCCAAAGCGGAGGGGTTGTGCCCTCCAGTGCACGTGGCGGCCACTGGCCACCGAAGAGCACCTGTGGATAATGTAGATGTTTAACCACCCACCTCACGGTGCTGTCCGTGGGAAACAGAACTGCCGAAGGAGGGAGGTCTGTCCCCAGAATCAGATTGCCGAGCCATCTGGCGTTGCAGCTGACCTGAAAGTGCATCCAGCACATTTCAGACCCGAGTTACAGCTGGTGTGGGGAAATCACAGAGACAGGTGGTCCCCCGAACAGCTGTACATCCAGTCGGGGTGGGCAAGAAAGAGAATTCCATCCTCGTTCAACCTTCATGGGCCTTCTGGGATCTATAGTAGCTCCCTGACCTTTTTCCATGATAATTACCATATCAAGGCAAATAATGATATTTCTCCCTTCCTTTGTTGAAATAATCTCTGTGGGTCAATGAATCTAAAATTTTAAGTGAGCATATCAAGTAATAGGTGGATAAAAAAAAGTATGGCTTTGAAAGAGTACTCACAGAAATAAAGAATCTTTAACACATTCTTATTCTGGAAGTGTACAGACTGAAGTCCCATTGAGGGGAAAAATATAAATTGCTGCGCTTAAGGTGACTATTGAAGTTTGTAATTCTCTATTTATCCTGCAAATTTTAAGATAACTTAATCAAACACTGTTTTTATTAAGTGGATTAGGATGCATGCTGAATGAAGTATGAGACAGTTTTAGCCCAAGAAAGGTAAAGAATCATTTTTACTTTTGACTTAAAAAAATTGTTCCTAGTGTAATACTTTGGCTATAAGTCCATATAGTTGGGGGGAGGGTTTTAGGCCGATCTGGTTTTTATTCACTGATTTAGAAGTGATGAGAAACTAAAGTAAGTTACAGAGGAAGTTGGATATTTTTCAAATGTTTGAACCCAGAGGGAAGAATCTTGGGTGATATTCCACATCATACTGTCTTCCCCAGAACCCCCACGTTTCTGCAAGTTGCTTACAGCAGGAGGGTGCCCGGCGTAGGTGACAAGTGAGAGCAGAAGTGCAGCCTGGGCTCTGCTCCCCGCGCCGTGGGCTATTGAGAAGAGCTCTGCCCGCCTGCATATGGGCCACCTTTTCCAAAGGTGCCAAGTGGGTTTGCCAGCATGGCCCCCACGGAGCGGAGCTGTAGGATCGGGCTTCAGTGAGAAGTGAGGAGAGCATGTCACTAACGTCATTCCCGATATTCTCCTGTGTATTACAGCCGGAGCTAATCTTGGCATCATCTTAATTTTAAAAAGAAAAAAGAAAACAAAACCTTTGTTTAAATGTACATACAGAAAGAGTTAAGAGCTGTGCATAGTTTGGAGATGATCAGTAATAAAAAATGCCCATTTCACCTTATCAGTTAGACAGGCAGAGAGGACCCCAGATGACATTGGGAAGAGACTGACATTTGAGGTATCTTCTCGTCTCCCCTTGTATACATTGGACTGCCTCTCCATCCCCACCCGTCCCACCCTGTTCAGACATCAGGCTCAAACTTGCCTCTTCTCAAAGACAAAAACACCCACGAAAAACACCTTCCATTCCCTAAGAACCTGGTTCAAGAGGAAAGCACTTTAGCCAGCTTTGTACTAAGACGTAAATATCTAGGAACAGTTAAATGTTGTCATCCCTACTGGCACCACATTAAATAGGAAGTGAACTGCACCTTCCCAGTGGATTCCAGGTGGGGGCAAAGGGTAGGCGTTTTGTCTGGGTGGTTCAGGCAGGAAAGCTTGCTTTATTCCAGAGACCACTGCGTGTTGGTCGGAGCTCCTCAGGTTGGCCGGACTTGCAGGCTCCCCTCAGCTGGCATCGTCTTCGTTCCTTGCCGCTATTACCTTAGTGTTGTTTGTTCTCCATTCCCAGTTCCCCTGGCATTTCACCGTTCCTTCACACCGATCTAAACGCTTCATTCTTAGCTCTGAGCATGGCCAGACTGGCATTTCTTTTCCATCTTCCTTAACTGCCTTCTTCCCAGGCAAGCAAACTATCGTCTAACTTCTATTCCATCCCTAAATCTTTGTTTAAGCATCACACCTCCCAAATCCACCTGCTTGAAAGTATCAGATTCTGCCTCTTTTTTGAAGCTCTGATTATTGAGGTTGAAGTTTAGAGCCTTCTCCATTGCTTGCTTATCTTAAATCTATCCCTGGAAGCCCAGGAGTGGGGAAGGAGAACTTACTGAGAGTCTGGTTGTTGGAAGCTTTTAGAAGGCAATCCATGTGCCTTTTCCTGCAGCTCTTTCTATACCAAGCCTAACAAAGTATACTTGGTGTTTTTTCTTCATAGAGCAATTACAGTAAATACTGGAAGCTGGGACTTTACATTGCTGTTTTAAGTTATTCCTTGATCTAAAGCAATTCCGATAGCTTTTCTTGGGCTTATGTTATGCCAGTGAAGCTAAAACTACTCATTAATTTGCTTAAGTTCAGTAAAAAAAAAAAACTACTACCAGTCAGCATGGCTACATGAACTCTGGTCAAAAAAGTCCAAATAACTAAAATGAAAAGCTCATATAAAAAATGGTCAGTCTGGCCATCTGTGATTCTTTAAAGAAACTTCATAATTTTCTATTTCTTTTCTCATGCCAATGATTTATTTTAAGGGTTTCCTATCCTTGGATGCATGGATTTTTTTTTAAATGCCAATGAACTGTGGCCATACTCCACTTTGTCCAAAACGTAGAGGTTTTGCATAGTTGACTTCAACAAATCATATATATTTGATTTGTTGAAATCAAATATATGACAAGCTTCCAAATTTCTTTCCAAATGAGGAGGAGTCATCTTCGATGCATTTGGGAGTGCTATACAAATGGAATTTTACTTTATTTTTCCCTACTCCTTTGAATGAATTTTTGTTTTGAAAAATCCGAATGCCAACTTAGCATTCTAAAGGTGGCTAGTGGTGCCAACTCACCACTCTCCAACTGTGTCATATTTTTTTTTTTGTTCTTGGTCTTCTTTGCATCATTCCCCCAAATAGAACCAGTGCTGATGCCCGAGCACTGTGCGCCTCTCAGAGCTGCCCCTGTCTCTGGCTCTGTGCCTTAGGACCCTTCAGTGAAGTGGGGTAAAAATGTGCACCGTCTTGGTGAGTGCGTCTCTCTCCTTTTCTCCTCACCCAGCTTACCAAAGACAGCCCCGATCAGAGATAGCATCTTTTCTCTTAAAATTTTTAGTTTTGTCCACACTGTTTTTTCCCTAAGCTTGGCTGTGCTAAGAAACTGCATGCTACTTAACAAATTGTTAACCGATATCTTTATTTGGTCTAACCAGATATGTTAACCCATATCTTTAGTTAGCTACATGTTTAGGAAGGGGTCAGCCATCCTTCAGAGCACAGGAGGAATGGTCTGCAGATTGACACCATTTTCTTCGGTGGAAGGTGCTGGCTAGGAATAGGGTGTCTGCTAGCCTGTCCTGGAGGGGCATTCAGCCTGGACTCCCATCAGCTCTTGGAAAGAAGGAAGCAAGAGATTGCCAGCCGATGTGCCACAGCTGTATTAAATATGTGGGACAGAGCGTGCAAATGTCTGTCGGCGCCTATGTCCACCTGGATTGTAACTTAATTGCTAACTAGTTAAAATAGAGTCTTTCATTCTGGCAAACAAATATTAAGTATCTCATGGATGGGAATTTATATTATGTACCATGGTGGAGATAAAAAGAAGAATAGAGCATTATCCCAGTTTTGAAGAAGCTTAGAATGCAGTTGTCTAAACCAATGAGTTTAGAAAGTGCTTTAAAAGTGTGATGTTCTAGAGATACCCTTTAAGGAAATTATAGTTAATGCGAGTTTCTGCTATTGTGGCTGTGATTAAACACTTCTCTTTGTGAGGCTATGCACCATAAGTCCCATTAGCAACTCACCCACCACCTCCCGCCCTCATTTCTGAAGAGCTGTGTTCAGGGAGCTGGTGGCCAGAGTCACGGGTTGATCTGCGCCACGGGTAAAGCTAATAAGTATGACTTAGGATGAAAGGCACAATGTAAATGCTTGAGATGTTGTTTATTACTGTTCTCATGTACTTTATTATTTTTAAATTGTGCATCCTTTAAAGTAGATTATTTGTGCGCCACAGTCTCCATTATATCTAAGCAAAGCATTCACAGAAATTTCTAAAACCTTTTCATTTCTCTCTGTAGGTTGTTGTTTCGTAACATTTTATACAAGAAAAGCTGCACTTGAGGCCCAGAATGCACTGCACAATATTAAAACTTTACCTGGGGTGAGTCGGTTTACTTTTGTACCAAAATCACTTTATTGCTTGAAAATGGTCCTTTCAACTGAAGGCTCTAGTTATGGGCTCTTAGTGCCAAAAATGACTTTGGTCTTTTGAGGAGTGTGCGCTGACCCCTCCGTGCCTCTGCGGCAGCCACACCGGCTGGCCGGCCCCACAAAGAAGCTTTGGCATTAATGCTGATGGAGAGCGCTCTCAAACAGTGTGTCCCGGTTAGAAAATCAGAGCAACCCCACTGGGTCACAGCGGCTGCCGAAGAGTATTGGGTGGGCTAAGATTTTAAAAACGGGGGGAAAAAAAAACCTCAACACACGCAAGAGAAGCAAATGGAAAAGGAAAAGCTTTTACTCACCAGGGCCCCTTTTCAAATTTTGTCTTTAGATTTTTCTTTTGAAAGGACAAAATGTACTCTGTACAGCCATAATATTAAACCTCCTAATGGCTTCTAAACAGTCCATGGTGGTTAACAAAGTGAGTGTTTTAATGCCCAATTTGTGGCTGCATGTTGATAGAGAACAGAAAATACAAAGCTTACCCCTTTTTTCCATTTCCTTCCCAGTAATATTTCATGATGAGTACAGTTCACTGGAAATGAACTGATTTATATAGCTACTTCATCGGAATACGTGATTTCTGGAGTTTTGTGGCAGTTTTGTATAGTGCATGCGTGTATAAATTCCCCTGTGCTATTTGGATGTTTTCCCCATTGACACAAAAATCAGTGACAAATTAATACCATGGTGATGGGCATCGGCCACATGAGGAACCTGGGGTAAGCAGTGCGGTGGTGCTGATTTTATGGGAACCCAGTTTAGTGATAGTAGAAGAAAGATAACATAATGTCCCTGATGTTTTCAGAGTGTAACACTGACTTTGTGTCATTTAGCAGGCTCCGTAGGTGGGTGCACACAGGCATTTTAGCCCCAGAAAAGAGGGCACTTGTTTAATTCCCCTTAGAGCCATCGAAAATTCTACAATATTTGTAGTGGCAAGCTATTCAACAAAAGGCTATCAATATATTAGCTTCTTAATAACCCAAAAGCAATAAATTATGAGCCTTGGTCTTGAACCGCACCACTTCGATTTTCCCCTTTTCATGGGAGCAAATCAAAGAGACGGCCCAGCAAAGCGAGTGTGTGGTATGAAAATCCCCCCTCCAGATTTGATTTCACTACTTCTCCCTGAAACTTAGGAGGGGGATTTTAGTAAGGCAGCTTTTCCTAGGTTTAAGTGACTTTTTGAAAACATAAGCAGTACTTCAGCTTCATTTTCTATATAAATGGGATTTTTCCCAAGTAAATCCTGGGAGGTTGCAGCATTTAGATCATATTATCAAATGACACAACCAAATCCCTTCTCTGCTCATTTTAAAAAAACTACTTGAAATGAATGGTCATTTAGCATTTATGGTATATTGATGCCAAATTACATCCTATTTTAAACTAATAATGCAAAGCTTGGTTACTTTTAATTTGTCTGGAATAAAAGCACAGCTCCCAACATACCATCTTTATATGTGAAGATGCTCTCCAGAAACCCAGAGTTAACATGACGGCTGAGCCATGTTGGAAAATGGGCAAGTGTCTGAGGAGCCTGCTCCTGTTCGGGGCATCTTACTCCGACCCTTTTCTTAGCAAACAAATAGCATCTTAATCTATTTTTAAAAAGTCACATATGTCTCTCTCTCTCTCCTCCCTAAAAACTCTGCATACAGAAGTCAGGGATGGTGAATTTGGAGACCCCTTATTAAGGACAGTGATGCGGGGGTTGGGAAAGATGGTTTGTGGATTGTTCTGGTTTTCTTTCTGTCCAGTTCAGTTTCACATGCCCAATTACTCGAGGCGGGTTAAATGAAGATTTGGAGATGTCAGGTCTGATCTGCAGGCTCAGAGCCTCTGTGGTGCACACACGGATGCTGCACTTGCCATTTCCAATTAGGTAAATAGGAACAGAGGTCCACGTCTGGCATTCATGTGTAGCTTCATCTGATAAATATCACCCTTAACAGCTACAGGAAAATCATGAAAGCAGTTTCCTTTCAGCTGTGAGCCTTTGGTGGACAGGAAGAAATGGGGCCAGACATAAAAGATTAATGCATATTCTCGGGGAAAAAAATATTACAGGACGCCTTGCTGTTTGATTGCAATCCTTGGAATTAGTCAACATTTCCATAATTCTAAACCAGTATACACCTGTTTCCCCACTGTGATGCAAGGCACAACTTAATTTAACAGAAACCCCACTGTGCTTGGCCTCTCGTTAAATACCAAGTGAGTTCAGTAATTTAAAGTTGTACCACTACTATTTTTACTGGTTGCCTTCATGTTATGAAATTAATAAGAAATTAATGATGCACTTTGCCATATGCCTTTAATATCTCTCTGAATAAAAATAAAAGGGATAAAGAAAAAATGCATCACCAGCTGACACTTTAAAGCTTTCCTGCTTGTAATCATTTTCCTGTGGATAAAATCCATTAAAAAGGCACTTGCTGCCTTTTCTTCTAAAGTGTCCAAAACATTCAATTTAAAACAAGATCAAAGAGTGCGGGGTGTTCGGGGTTCTTGTTTTGTTTTGTTTTTTTCCTATTTGCTGTTGGTATTTTGTGTCATATGGCACCTTTATCATGCAACCAAAATTAGGTTTAGAAACCACCTCTCCTTCTCGAGAGAAACAAAGAACTTGGTTAGGATGGGAGAGTAAAAGAGCCAGCGGGACTACATGTCACGCGGTTGACTGTGTCTGCTCCTAGATTTCTCTGTAAAGGCAGCCTTCCCTTCGTGTCCCGCATGGGTTATAGAGACCCTTTACCTGGAGGGCGCAGGGCTGGGGTCAGGGGTCAGGGCTGTACTCGTCAGTGCAGGGTCACTAAGGACCCATTTCTCAAGCCTGTCTCTTACCTTGTGGCTGAGAAAGATACTGGGTCATAACATCTGAAATGTTCAACGTGAGCCCTAGAAATAGAATATTAAAAATAAAGGGAGCTAAATTGGACAGCTCAACCCAAAGAGCCAAGGGTGGGAGTCCGGGGTTCATTTCCCTGGTTGGATCATGTTCTCTTTTAGAAATGGCCACTTGAAGCATAAGCAACTGATCAAATCCTAAGTGCAGTACCTTATTTACGACTGGCATTTCATCAGATTAATAAATCACTAATGGTTACTGGATGCCTAGTGGGTACTAAGGGGTCTAAGCTATTCTGACCACACACACACACTCACACACACACTCACTCACACACACACTCACACACACACTCCCCCTTGGAATCCCCTAGTGAGTCATGTTCTTGTAGCCTGAAGAGCGTACTGTGACTGTCTGCACGGGCAGGACTCCTCGATGAGCCGTTGAGTTTGGTGCAAAACTGCGCGATTGACTCTTCCCACAGCCGAACCTTTTGTGTTCTTGGACCGGTTTTCGTTGCCTCTGCTCTAACGGTGCAGCACTTGGCTTGTGGGTGGTTTCCTTTGCGTGGGGTCTCCGGTAGGCACAACCTAACCGGTGGATTCATTCGATAGAAGCGTCATCATCTGCCATTGTAGTTCCCAGAGAGAAATCCTTGGAAAGGCAACTTGCAAGATTCATTTTGTCTTCACTGACCTAATTTAGCTTAATTAAAAAAAATAAAATGAAGACCTTAATTGAGGCACAAAACAACCCCCACAGTCTTCAGTCATCAGATGTGAAGGCCAAACATCCCTGTGCCAGTGACAGTGCTGTGGCTTCTGTCATTCTTTCCTCAAGGTCTTAACACATATTGTCTCTAGCAATAAGGCATTTTGATTGGAAATCTACAGCAGTATCATTAGGGCATTCACTGTATAAATTAATTTAATTAAGGGTGTAATAACAGGAATACGGTTTTGAAAAAGCTCTTAAATTTTAACAGCAAGAAGGAATTGGTAGAATCTAAATGTCTTGTAAAATATTAATTGCAAATTTCTTCCAGACATTTCCTCTGAATATACCTTATTCCATTCCTTTTTAGAATCACTACCAGTTTTATTAAATGCAGTTTATATTAAGGAGTTACTGCCCCGAGAGAACATTTGTTTGCTGCACCCCATTTTGGCGGCGGCGTGCTGAAAGGTGTTTTATAATAATGCCGGCAGCGCGCACACGGACCGCACGTAGATTCGAGATATAAAAACAAATGAGCCTGATCCGGTGGGAAGAAGCTGTAAATAAAATGGCCTCTCGGGACAAGTGTGTTCACCCACACAAAGTGAATGGACCCCTTCCTGGCTTGCCCTGGAAGAGATAATTTACCTGTGTGGGTAGGCGCTCTCCTCCTAGGCAGATTGTAACGCAACTCTCCATAGAATTGTCCCCCTGTGTCCTTTAATAGTGGAATGCCAGGATTTAATATCCTTTCAGTAGGACAGCTCGGCTCTCACTGGGACCAAATTCAATTTGTCCATTGTAATGCATTTTAAGGTGGTCATTTTCTTCGAACCACTTTTTCTAACTATTAATACATGTTTAATGCCTTTGTTGTCAGTCATGATGGTTATTATTTTATCATTATCACTATTTCTGTCATAAAATCTCTCAAACCCCATGTCATCATTACCATGTAAATTTCCCCCAAAGTATCCCATTTGATTCAAAGCCAAACTAAGTCAAACTAGAAAAAATAGGTTTTTTAGATGTGTTTCATTTGAAACTGTCGTGAAAAACAGCCAAAATATCTATCTCTACAAACAGGTTTGAGTCCTCAAAATCATTGGCCATGGGGAACATTCCTGTGCTCACACAACCTGTTATTTGCTGAACCAGGATCGTTTGCCAGGCACCGTTCTAGGTGCTGGGGGTACGGCGTCAGCCGTGCTGTTCGTAACTGGATCACCGACGGGCAAAGTCAGCCACCTGCCTCTGTGCGCTTGGTGTTGAACAAATAGCTCTGGGGTAGTGGAGGCCAGAGAGGGTTATTTCATCAAATATTTCCAGAGGAGTCAAGTTTTATTCCAAAAATGATCATTCTTCCT